CCAAAACCCCAAAACCCCAAAACCCCTAAAGTGGAAAATATTGGTTTGGAATGTGATAATCAATAGAAAAATAATAAGCTTTGTTAATAAAAAAGTTAGTAAAATGTAAGACTTTGGTCTAACTGGATTTTCGAATAAAACTGGCATAAAATCAGAAAAGCAAGTTAAAAGCCAGTCTAATGGTAAAAGCTCTAAAAACTGAAGAACAACCATAAAAAGATAAGATTCCTTAAGAATGATTAGTACTCCTATTGACTATAGCCAATAGAAAAACAGTAATAATGTTAAGGTCTAAGATCAAAGTAAGCTGCCTGTTCATCGATACGAACGCATTCAATTCAATGTAAGTTTAAATGATAAATGATGTAACTGCAATTTAGAATGCAAATACTGTTGGTCTTAGAGAGATCAAGAGGAGAATAGAAGATGCCTACTTAATTAACAATAAGTGGTCTTATATAATCGACGTGAGTGGAATTTGTCTTAAATATTACATAAAACCAGCTTCAGTTATGGTTGATGTTGCTGATGAGGAATAAATGAAGTTCGATAACTTAATTGTAACACTTATTGACTGCATGAAAGCAGGGAAATGGCTAACATTTAATTTTAAAGAGGAAGAAGGCACTAAGATTTTGAGACACACAGGAATAAACAAAATTCCTGCAGCAATTTTGAATCCCTTGGAGATATATTGTGAATAAACTCTCGACATTTTATCCAATCATGTGGCAACTATTTCCAAAAATGATAACTTCAGACTCATTTTCATTTCAAAATCTGTATTGATACCCAAACAGTTCAAAGATAATTTCGAGTTTCACATCATTGATGATTAAAAAGTCTAGGAATAAGATCTTGAAGACTTGTATAAGAGAAGAGAGCCTGATAAAGGTATTGCTAATAAAATGGGAATAGATTTGATAGAGGCTGCTTATAATGGGGAGTTCGAAAAAGTAAAGGAATTGATATCTAATGGAGCAGACCCAAAGTTTAAGGACTACGAAGGAAATAATTGCTTTACCGAGGCATGCCTGATGGGTCATTATGATATGGTAGTGTTCTTGCTAAGCTTAGATCTAGTGACGTTTGATGTCAATTATATGAATAACAAAAATAGGACTCCGCTGCATAAAGCTGCTTTTGGAGGTCATCATTAAATTGTTTTGCTCCTTCTAGAGAATGGAGCAAATCCCAAGATCAATGATTTGGCACTTGCCTAACCAATTGATTATGCTTCCAATAAAAAGACTCATAAAATATTGAAGCTTTGGGATATAGAGAGGACGAAATAATACTGGGAAAAGCACGGATCCAAAAAAAATCAGCCAGTTTTTTATGATTATCTTGACTTGGATTTCGAAGAAAGAGAAAAGATAAGATACTAAGTCTGTGATTACGCCTAGAAGGGTAAATTTTCAGAAATAGAAAAAATCATATTGCAAGGTCACGCCTCTGTAAGAACTCTTTAGTTATTCATTATTTTAGATTGAAACTAGAAATGACAGTGGCAATTCCTTATTATCTATATCTTGCAAAGCTAATTAGTATAAATGTGCTGAACAATTGATAAACATTTTTAATTGCTCTATAAATACCAGAGATCACAAGGTATACTTGAATATTTGATCATATTTAGGGATGGACACCTCTTATTATAGCATCTTTCCATGGCTATACTAAGATAGTAGCTTTGCTAATAGCTAACAGAGCAGATCCCAATATACTAACTAACCGCTAGGAGTCTGCCATTGATGTGTCAAAATACCCAGATATCCGGAAAATGCTAAAGGATTATGAAATAAGTTGGAATAGAGAAGCTTTTGATAAAATGATAGATGAAAAGCTAACTACTATAGATTAAATTAACACAGAAGATCATATTGAGGAGACAATAGATGAGCCAAAGAAAAACGAAACAATAGAATAGACAAATCAAACCAAAGCAGATACTATCAATCATAAAGATCAAGCTTAAATCTCTATTGACAATATGTTTGATAAAAGCAAAGAAATGTCAAAAATATCATCCTACAGTGACGTAGTTATTCAATAGGAGTTTCTCAATCAATAAAGTGGAGACACTTTGCTTCCAATTATACCAGCGCCAAAGATTATATCTAGGAGAGATCAATTCTTTGATGAAAAGAAGCTTAATGAGTCTTACTCAAAGAGAGGATTGCTACCAACCATTGATTAAAAAATTTAAGGCTCAATACCAGATGATCCCTAAGTTATAACAGCCAAGTTGAAGTAAAAGTTAAATTTAAATAAAGTCAATGCCAAGCATCACCATCATCCGCATATGTATGCTCACTCTAATAAAAGTTCTCCACGTTTAGACAAATTTGACATGAAGAGAAATCATCAAACTCTGTCTACTAATGTATCTAATGTCAACAGTCCAATCTAATTTAAAAGTGATGGCGAGAGTGAAATTGAGGAAGATAGCATTCAAGATTTTTCTATAAATATTGAACTAAACAAGGTCAAGAACACTTCTAAGTCAACTTTATAAAAGAAGATTAATGAGAAGAACCCTAAATCGAAGTCCACAATCTAAAATTATAAAAATTTGGCAAGCAACAAGCAATCATCACCTTTGTTTCCCCCGATCGCAAGAAATAAGAGATGATCCAGAATTATACAATCAAGGATATAAATTTTTATAAATCTTTATTTCTTAATATCAATCTCCTAATTAGAAGAATACATTAATTTAAGGGGTTTTGGGGTTTTGGGGTTTTGGGG